CAGAGGAAGCGGGCTCAGTTTCTAACTTAAACTACCATGAAAGTCTCTGAAGATGACTCCTGGCTCTCCCTCCCTCTCCTCCTCAGGTGATGATGATAACGATGAATGTGATGAGGAGAAGCTTCCTTCCTGTTTTGACTATGTCATGCACTTCCTCACCATCTTCTGGAAGCTTCTATTTGCCTTTGTTCCTCCCACCGACTACTGGAATGGCTGGGCCTGCTTTGTCGTGTCCATCGTTGTCATCGGCCTCCTGACGGCAGTGATCGGTGACCTGGCGTCGCATTTTGGTTGCACTGTCGGCCTCAAAGACTCCGTCACTGCTGTGGTGTTTGTAGCTCTGGGCACCTCTGTTCCAGGTCTGACACAAACCTCTCACTACATGCATGCGTTTTGTAAATGCGGTTTTATTTTGATTTATCCTTTATTTAACTAGGTGCTGCCTCATTGAGGTTATCATGTCTTTTTCAAGAGGGCCTGGCCTGTTGTCCAGAACAGCCTTTATTCATTTATGCAGAGATGGGCAGACTCTGTGCAGCAGCCAGACTTTGACTTGTTTTGACTTATTTCAGGTACCAGCTAGAGCCGACTTTCTTTTAACATGGAAGTTTCCATCAATTGTTTCGCAGTTTGAGCAGCTGCCATTATGAACACTGAGGACGTGCTCATCTTGTTCAAGTAAAACTTCACTGGAATTGTCAGTAGTCAGTACACATCAGGAGTTTTGTGTTTATGTTGTTAGTGTGAGTGCAGTGTGCAGCGACTGTCTTATCAGACTGTAACTAGTCCAAAAACCAGTATGGCTGCACACATGGTTTATAAACTCTGGGCTGCACAGGAGCCGTCTGCCTTACCCCATTGTGTGGAAAGTATTCGTTTGGCTTCCCCAAAGGTTTGTTACAATGTGTCCTGTGTGTAACACAATGCACAAGACCCACAAAATAAACTCCCTAATTAAACTGTCTGCCCAGCTTGTAGCACAAACTAAAACCACAAATGAAGCAGTTACAAGATAAACACTTAAAGTTCCCATGGCTGCTCATTTTGCTCCTTTCCAGCCATTTAATGTTTAATCTTGGGTACCTCTAGATTATCTTGGCACCCCTCATAACTCCAAATAGTCTGTAATTATTTCAGAATCATAGAACCAAAGAGCCTCTTCCTAAAAAGGAGAAGAGTTTGTGAATGCACACAACTCCTGCTGCCAGTGTTGTGTTGTAAGTGGAGAGCACAAGGAACTGTGACAGCATTAATTAATATGAATGTCTCCTCCATAGATAGGTAAACATCTGTATATGTACCAATGAAAAGAGATGTGTAACACTCTAGACAAAGTGGGTAACTGAGAAACCCCATATTTTAACTGGCATAATGTAGACATAGTAACTTCTCCAGCCTTACAACAATTCTCTCTAATGTTTAAGAAACAAGGCATTAACATGTGTGTTTTTTTTTTAACTCACCATTAAGTCCCACCGAGTAGTGGAAACATCGTTCCCTTTCAAGTAGCTCCAAGGTCGGTAAATCCAACCGGTGGTCGCTGTGTCTTCCCTCACATGACCACATACAGTCCCAAAGTAGTGAAACTAATTCTAACAAGCAGCATAGCACCGACAATAACATCATGGGTCGTTAATCCGCTGGTTAACCAGCAACATGTCACATGCTGCAGACACACTGGCCTCAAGCAGTCAGAACAAACAGGTACTGTGCTCCGGAGAATCCAGCATTGATTGGTTGATCACTAACTGCCATGGGGGGCTTCATAGGCCGGCTGCTTGTAGGTTAGACCCGGTCAGGTAAAACAGCGAGTCCCTGTACAGGAACATTCCCAGACATGCAGTAACCTCAGGCCCTGGATTTTACTCCACATCCTCTGGTCACAGTGCAGCAGCAGGAGGGAAGATATATCCACAAAATCAGACACAGTTGAAAAATTACACTTTTACAAGCGCACCGCTGGATGTCTTTTTTTTTTTTTTAAACACAATCAGAGTTATCAACCTGGTTGTGTTTGATTTTGTGGAGTTCTTACATAAACAAACAAACCTTCTGTTGACAGTTTCTCCATAAAACACTGTGTGTATCCTTAAGTCTTACAAACATGTTTACACTTTCTCTCTCCATCAGACACATTTGCCAGTAAAGTGGCAGCCACCCAGGACCAGTACGCCGATGCCTCCATCGGAAATGTGACGGGAAGTAACGCCGTTAACATCTTCCTGGGTATCGGTATAGCCTGGTCCATCGCTGCCATCTACCACTACTCCAAGGGCCAGGATTTCAGGGTCGACCCGGGCACGCTGGCTTTCTCTGTCACACTCTTCACCATCTTTGCCTTCATCTGTATCGCTGTCCTCATCTACCGGCGCCGGCCTGAGATTGGTGGGGAGCTCGGCGGACCCCGAGTTCCCAAAATCCTCACTACCTGTTTGTTCTTCAGCCTGTGGCTGATGTACATCGTCTTTTCCTCGTTGGAGGCTTACTGCCATGTAAAGGGCTTCTAGGACTTCTGATGGGTTCCCGAAGGTTTGAACAGATGAATAGATTTTCTGATGGATATATCTGTATGTTCTTTAAAGCTATAGAATACATCACTAATGGGTTTCTAAAGATCCCAAAGGTTCCTGAAATATTCTGTGGGTTCTTGATGCATCTGTAAGGGTGTCACTAAGTTCCTGACATTTTCCCAGGGATTTGGTTTCTGGTATTTTCCTGGATGTTCTGACAGGTTCCATTCATTTCTCTTATTTGTCTGAAATTTTGGATGCATGTCTAATGGTTCTATAAGCTTCATGGATTTTTAAATGTCCTAACTGTTTCCACCATTTGTCTAAAGTTTTGGATAAATGTCTAATAGTTCTAGTGGGTTCTGCTTGATTCTTGCATATCTTGCCAGGTTTCTATGTCTCTTATTAGTTGACAGATTCTTCAGGGTTCTGATGGACATGTACCAGTTGTCTGAATGTCCTGACAAAACATTTTGACCACTATCTGTTCTATCTGTGATGTTTTTTAAACATCTAATGGGTTCAAAACATCTTTCACAGGCCCCTGAAGGTCATAAAGGTTCCTGGAGGATTTTTGACAGTCTTGGTGGATTTCAAAAAATCCCCTCAGAACTTCTGAACCTTTCTGACTTATTCTGGTGTCCATATTGGACTGCTTGCTGGCTGTTGAGTGCTGGTGACCTCCAAGACTCCACCACCTTCATCCTCCCGTGCCTCCCAGACATTTGAAGATATCAAGCTATGTCATCAATCCTTCTCCTGTACCTTTAAACAATGTATACCAAAACATTTTAATGTTGACGTGCATGGACTTTGAACCACAACCACAGTAGTGACCACGAACAGCCGTGGTGATGGAGGCAGCTTGTGCTGTAGGCTTCTGACTACCTTCAGGACTTTAGATGTCAAAGGTGACTGCAGCAGTAGTGTTGCACCTACACGAATACGTATCTGCACTGAGTGTGAAACATAGTTCATTTTAAAAGCTGAGCAAGTTTGGTGTCGAGGTCTCAAGGTGCTGTACAGGACCGGGAAATGTGCACTCTGTTGCGGCAGTGACTTCAGACATCATCACGTGTGCGTTTGTGTATGAATACGTAACCTCAAACCATGCTGAGAAGCAGAGATAATTCATGATGTTCTTTGAGGTGGCTGGCTGTTTGGAAAGCAAATGGACAGAGTGAAGACAAACGCTGCTGCTTATGATCTGATGACAGAAGGCAGTGACTGTCCTTCAAGTATTAAAGTACAGTGAGCCTCTTGTCTGTGTCCTGTCTGATTGGTCCACAGAGATGATGGTTCGATAGCAGAACTGACTGATGTAGGGAACAAAACTAAGCATCTCATGGAGGATAAGACTTGTCTGCTGAGTCGAATGTGAACACAGACACTTTAACAACATTGTGTCCACTGCAAAAAGCCCATAAATCTGCTTAGAGGTAACAGATAATAATAGAAAAAGACGTAGAACTTGTCTGAGAATCGTCATGTCACTGCACATCTATGGCTGCTGCAGGATAAACACAAACAGCTACACACAACACGTGGTGCTTCCTGTTGTGCAGTACTATGGGAGCTGCAGTTACACACTCCAGCCACCAAACAGAAGACAAGGAAATGACATGAGTGAAAACATTTTCTGCTAAATGTGGTCTCAGTCTGAGTGAACTTATCAAAAATCTGTCTTCTGTGCCTCCTAAAAGATTAACAACAGACCAGTGCAGTGAACTCACACTGATGTTCATTGTTACTCTTACTCTTTACTTTTACTCTGAACCACTCCATAACAGCTTTGTCAGCAAAGAGTGTTTGAGACGGAGCTCGATAAAAAGACAATGAACAAAGAGGCTTCAGTTTCCAGGTGTTCTGGTTCAGACTTCCTACAGGTTTTTCACAGCTTTTACCAAAGCACTAAGTGCCTTGTTACAGAAAACACACAACAGTTTTTATTGAAATTGTCTTAAATGTATAAATTTGATTATATGTTTATTATTGAGGTCATAGTTAAAGCTGGTGTTGGACTAGACTACAATCCTTTTAACTGTGACCTCAATAATGAACATATACAGTAACTGAATTTATACATTTAGGACAATTTCACCACAACTGAAACTTTCTGAGCATTGTAAACACAGATGTTAAATCAAATCAAATCAAATCAAATCAAATCAAAT